CCGAACAAGTCCTGGGCACCCGTCAGCCGAGGCAGCTCGAATGATGCCCCAAACACAGGGGATGGCTGTCTGAAGGAAGTGGTCGTTTACATATAGCATTCATGACCAGATCACGGCGCAGGGATGAACTTATCTCCGAGAAACGTGAGCCAGTGCCTCTTCCATCTCTGGCGTCGACACGTCCCGCACAGCGGTCTCTCGCGAGGCAATCTCCCGCGGAATCTCGCTGTCTGCAACCTGGATCAAGCCATCACGACAGCAGTTTTAGGGCCCAATCGCTGTACCCTCGAACGAGCTCAGAAGCTCCCCGAGCTGCTCATCTTGTTCTATATCTGCCCACAGAAATTGCCCTCCCCACCTCCGCCAATGCCAAAGCGTCGGCCAGCGACTTTTGCAGCGTCAGCCTCAGGTCCCATGCGCTCCCCGCATCCGATTCTCTAGACGAGTCATGCGACAGACAGCGTCGAGGCATGGCGCAGAACAAGCTGCAGCCAAGCTGCTGCTCGACGCCTTAGATCTGCCAAAGTTTGGAGGGCATCTAACCACTGGCAACTAATCAAAGCACAGCAGGCGGAGGGCATGGGGGAGGTGGGGCTGTGAGGACTCTCCTCCATCTTCAAAGCCTCCATGCCGTAGCCCTAGTGACACAAACATCAAACAGTGTGCTAGACAAGGCACGTTGGTCGTCTTCTTCCAGCGCCAACTCCGGTGACACTGTTGGCGCATCTGAAGCTGGCCGCGAGGCCGGCTTGTCCGCGTTCTCTTCGAGAGCGTCTACCTCCAGCGCAAAAAAAGGCTGGCTTCAACAGTCCATAAGTCGGCGTGTATCAATCGAGCAGATTGCCGCATGGCTGGCTCCAGCAAGCTTCACAAACTGCAAGAGCACGAACGTAAACAAGCGAGAGTCCCCCCCTGCCTCAGCTTGTGAAGCTGCAACGCTCACCTGCGCAAGCAAACACTGAGGCTTTTTCACAAAACAAAAACAAAAACATATAGTCTTCATGCGTCACAGACTGTGACCAATCAAGCCGAATCATTTATCGCACTGGAGAAGGTGGACCGAAAGCTAGTTTGATTTGATGGCTCATTCCGGCTTAAAGCAATACTCCCAGCGGGATAAAAGGCACAAGGAGATCACTCCATCCGTTTCTTTTTGAGACTTCGGAACAGCAGAAACCTTGCTTGCTTGCTCACGCTGAAAGTCCGGCCCCATGTCCCCTGCAAAAAAGAAAGACATCACCACCAAAGGGGAACGATTCGTGAAAACGGCAACTGGAAATCTGTGAACCACGGCAAGGCTGGAAACTTCCCCCTTTCCAGGGAGTCTTTTCAAACGGGAATGGCCGGAGTGCGAAAAGTGGTGTTCAACCCCTCCAAATTTTGAAACACCCAGGCTGCTCAATTTGCTGAAAAAAATATTAATGCCAAAAAAGAATGACTAAAAATAGATCTAAAATCATTTATACTATTTTAAATTTCATTATGGAAAGTAGACCAATTTTGTTAAATCGAGCACCTACTTTACATAGATTAGGTACTCAAGCATTTAAACCAAAACTAGTATCCGGCCGAGCTACTTTATCACATCCTGTGGTTTGTTCAGCTTTTAATGCTGATTTTGATGGAGATCAAATGGCTGTTCATATTCCTCTAGCAGCCCCCCTGTCTGAGCTTGACTCTCCCTTTTGCTTCAAAGCAAAAAGCCTCCGTGGGCGTGAACACCGTGGAGATGCCGCGCGACACCTGCGCGAAGATCGTGTCTTGGCCATCTCAGCCCAGCCCCGGGTTCAACCCATCACAGCCAAAAGCCGTCTCAGAAACAGAAATCCACGTACTTTTTGACTACTGACCCAGTTGGCCTTGGGGTCAACCCATCTGGACACAGCCAAAAACTCGTCTCAGAAACAGAATTCCACTTTGTGACTACCCTAAACCCAGTTTGCCTTTTGCAAACATCAACCACGATTTAGTCTCTTGGGCTCAAAAAATGGGAGAACGGGCTGCGGACAAAGCTTCCCAGAAGGGTCCCGAAAAGGCGAAGCGGCCCGCGCTCCGCGCTCCGCTTGGGTTTCGAAGCAAGTGGGGGCACCAAAGAGCCAGAGTTCCTGGAACCCAATTGAAAGTTCCGGAAGGTCCCAAAGCTTCCAGAAGAACGGGGATGCTTTTTGCATTTGTTTTGGCGATTGACCTCCATTTCGGTTGACCAGAAGAACTGGGATTCCTCCGGAGGTCCCAAAATCTTCCAGAAGAACACCAGAGAGATGGAATTCCTTTAAACCCTCCAGAAAGCCATTGCCTCAAAACAAAGGCGCACTCACGTTTAACGCCTCGCGCGAGTCCAGCTCGGCATTCTGCACCGCCTCCTCCAGCAACTCCTAGGCCAAAGCAACTGGTGGGCTTCAGTCTTCGGGGGTCTTGGTTTTTTCTTGCGATCGGTGCGATAGGGAATATGAGTCGCCTTGAAGGAAATCGCCACTTGGCTGGTGCATAGGGTCATTCCCTCATTCCCTGGTTTATGATGATTCCCTTGTAACCAACAAACAATGGAAGGGAATGTGGTTGAATGAACCGTCTTGGGGTCCCCAACAGAAGGAAACCACCCGTTGGATGGTGTATAGGGTCATTCCAATTCTCATTTGCTGCCTATCGCACGAGCAAATTTGGCTTGGATCCACTTGCTTGTGAATGCTGAAACCAATTTGCCCCACCCAGAGCTGTACTCCAGCCAACCGAGCTCAAACATGCAACCACAAAATCCGGACTCAGACGCTTTTCATGGTTTGTAATGATTTGGCCATGGGTCAAAATCCAAATCGTACCCCCAGTGAACATCCCAATCCCCACTAAAATAGGTTCTCAAATGGGTGGTGAATTCACCTACCCCAAAATGGGATCCCATTGGTTTTGACCCGCAGCCATTTGGGGTTGTTACCCTTGGGCTTTTCCAAAAGGAAAGCCATCCGTTGCAGCGGGGTCTTTTTGCCGCCTGTGGAACAACGATCGACCCCGTAGTGAAGGATTCCTTTTTCGAGGTCGCCGATTTTCTCTCCACGGCCGCAAACAAAAACACGACCCCCCTGGTCCCTTCAGAAATTTGTGCGTCTCCGATTTGTTTTTCCCGACCCCATGTCTCTTTCGCCGAGGATCGTGAACCAGAACGTCTCCATCCGTCATGGCCTCAGCCTCAGCTTTGGGGGCGAAGCAGAGCTTTGGTTGGAGGGTCAGCAGTTGGCTGCGGGTCAAGAATGCGTTGGACGGTTTCGCGAAATCCAGACATCGCACCCAAGAAACCCGGGTTTATGATTTATTTGATTCCCCAACGCAAATACCGACGCACAATGGTTTCAACCATGGTTTCATTTAGTGGTGCGAAATGAATTTCGTCCATCCACAGCAGATACCCATTTGGGGAACCCTGGTAAAGGGAGAAACATGGATGAAAACCTGTCCTCTGGTAGCTCAAAATATGAGTCTTTGGCTGCCCTCCCACCAAACATGGAACCTGACATTTCGAGGTCCTGGCTTGGACCCTTTTCCTTTTGAGGTTCCGTGTTGATTGGCGGGAGGGTAAGCATTTACTGGGCAACCAAAAGGAAACTATTTTAGAGGACCGCTCTTCTGAGAACCCCCCATAATTCTTCATTAAAAGAAGGCGCCAGCCGCCAGCCATGCTTTTTTGCTGGGGAACGGGACAGGGCCAAGACAAACAGAAGGAAAGTACATCGACTTCCATGCCTGAAGACTTGAAAGCGAACCCCTGTACTTCATGTTACAACTTGCTGGTGCGATAGGCAGGGAATCAGAAATGGAATGACCCCTATAAACCATCCCTATGGTTTCCTAGGGAATTTGCAGGTTCATTCCCTCATTCCCGACTGAGAACCAGCAAGACAACCATACCTCACTTGAGTAGGTTTAGCACCTGAAAGGCGCGTCTAGTTCTGTCCGCCCACGACCCCCTAAGTCAAGACACCTCGAATCCGGAATGAGCTACTGCTTTGAAGAATAGGGTCCAACGCCCCAAACGTCCATCGCTTTGTCAAAACATATTCCTGACTGTAGATCCAACGGGGCCTCGGCGACATTTGACTCGTGTCTTCGTGCGCCCAAATGATTGGAACGCAGCTGTGCGGAGCGAAAACGCCGGCTCAAGTCACGACAAAAAGTCGCGCGAGCGGGCTGCTGTCTCCCCTTCCCCGCTCCCGCCTCTGCCAGAGCCAACGCGTCGGCCAGGGACTTCTGCAGTGAGAGCCTCAGAGCAACGCGCCACCACCCTGCATGCAAGTGGGGCGTACGGTGATTTGTTGTGACTCTAGATGCGTAGTACTGCTCCCCTGCGAAAAAAGTGTAACTTTCAGTAGTTTAATGGAAAACCCCATAGTTGGCAAAAAGTTAAAGCCCTAACATCCAAGCAAAATGCCCCAAAGGTAAGATGTGGCTTAAATGTGTCTTAAGGCGGCTATATGTAGCATTTGTTGGCGCAAGGTGTGGCGTGGTGACCGTGCTGATGTGGCATGGTGGCGGCCAGAGCTCAGCTTGGCAGTAGCTCGCCCAGCATCTGAATGCATCAAAGCTGCCCAGGAAGGCAGGAACTGCATACAGGGCTCCCTATATACATATACATACACACATATACGTCGTACGTACTTATGTATGTATGAATGAATGTGTGCGTGTATGGATGTATGAATGTGTGAATGAATGTTTATGTATGAATGTGTAAATGTATGAATGTTTATGTATGAATGTGTGAATGTATGACTGTATATGCATGTGTGTATGCATCTATGCATCTATGCATCTATGCATCTATACATCTATGCATCTATCTATCTATCTATCTGTCTGTCTGTCTATATATCTATCTATCTATGCATCTATGCATCTATTCATCTATGCATCTATGCATCTATGCATCTATGCATCTATCTATCTATCTATCGACCTATCTATCCATCCAGCCATCCATCCATCCATCCATCCATCCATCCATCCATCCATCCATCCATCCATCCATCCATCTATGCATGCATGCATGCATGCATGCATGTATGTATGTATGTATGTGTGTGTATGTGTGTATGTGTGTATGTGTGTATGTGTGTATGTGTGTATATATATATATATATATATCTATATTTATGTGTGTGTGTATATGTGTGTATGTGTGTGTGCATGCATGCATGCATGCATGTATGTGTGGTATGTATTTACATACGTGTGTGTATATGTGCATGTGTATGTGTATCTATGCATTACGTATATGTATGTGTACATATACATAATATGTTGGTTTATATTCCCCCTAAGCGCCGCCCGGCAAAAGACATCTCACAGAGAATTGGCAAAAGACATCGGGTCGGGATTTAATTTGGGAATTTGTTTTTTTTTAATTTTGGGTTTTTTTTTGTTCTCCGTCCTGGCTACTAAAATGCTGTAATTTACAGCATTTTCTCGCGAAATGTACGTATTTTACGCTAGTCCGTCAACATCATCAGCATCGTTTTCAACATCCCCCGCCTGTCCAGCCAACATCCCCAGCATCACCAGCAAATTGGCTTCCCGCATCTCATGGTAAAAGTGAGGATTCAAATACGGGCAAACTAATCCCTGTAAAACACCTAAAACGTGGCGGCAGCCCCCCCCATGATGATTGAAAAAGTGACGACGGCAGCCCCCTGATGATTGAAAAAGTCTAAAAAATTGCGGGGGGGTTGGGGGCGGCGGCAGCCCCCCCCATGATGATCGAAAAATTAAGGGCAAAGAATCTAAAAAGGAGCGGTCGCATGATGATCGAAAAAGTGATGATTCAATTAGGGGCAAAAAGTCCAACAAATAGCGGGGGGGTTGGGGGGGGGCGGCAGCCCCCCCATGATGATTGAAGAAGTGATGATGCAAAACGGGCCAACAAATATTTAAAAAAAAAGCAGCCGGGGGTCATCAGTTCCTCTGCGGCAAGGCCTCATGGTACAAGTGAGGATTCGAATACGGGCAAACTAATCCCTGTAAAACACTTAAAACGGGGGGGGGGGGCAATTCCTCCATGATGATTGAAAAAGTGATGGTTCAATCAGGGGCAAAAAGTCTAAAAAATTGCGGGGATCGAAAAATTAAGGGCAAAGAATCTAAAAAGGAGCGGTCGCATGATGATCGAAAAAGTGATGATTCAATTAGGGGCAAAAAGTCCAACAAATAGCGGGGGGGTTGGGGGGGGGCGGCAGCCCCCCCATGATGATTGAAGAAGTGATGATGCAAAACGGGCCAACAAATATTTAAAAAAAAAGCAGCCGGGGGTCATCAGTTCCTCTGCGGCAAGGCCTCATGGTACAAGTGAGGATTCGAATACGGGCAAACTAATCCCTGTAAAACACTTAAAACGGGGGGGGGGGCAATTCCCTCCATGATGAATGAACAAGTGATGAGGGGGCGGCAGCCCCCCCCATGATGCTCGAACAAGTGATGATTCAATCAGGGGCAAAAAGTCCAAAAAATGCGGGGGCCCCCCCATGATGATCGAACAATTAGGGGCAAAGAATCTAAAAAGTAGCGGTCGCATGATGATCGAAAAAAGTGATGATTCAATTAGGGGCAAAAAGTCCAAAAAATCGCGGGGGGTTGGGGGGGGCGGCAGCCCCCCCCATGATGATTGAAAAAGTGATGATTCAATTAGGGCCAAGAAAATATTAAAAAAAAAAAGCAGCAGGGGGGTCATCAGTTCCTCTGCGGCAAGGCCTCATGGTACAAGTGAGGATTCAAATACGGGCAAACTAATCCCTGTAAAACGGCAGCCACCCCCCCCCATGATGATCGAACAAATAGGGGCAAAGAATCTAAAAAGTAGCTGTCGCATGATGATCGAAAAAGTGATGATTCAATTAGGCGTGCATTTTAATCGAAAGGGGGGTGGCGGGGGGCCCAGAGAGGAACTTGCGATGCTGATGATGCAGGAAGCCAAGGCCAAAAACCAACTGGGAAAGCATCAGGATGCGAAAAGCCAAAGCCAGAAAGCCGCCAAAAGCCAAAAAGCCAAAAAGCCAAAAAGCCACCTGCCACAGCGGAACTGGCAATGCAGAGGATGCGAACAGAGAGGAACTGTGAATGCAGATGATGCGAAATGAAAAGCCACAAAAGCCACAAAAACCCACGTAAAAGCCACAAAAGCCAAAAAGCCGAAAAGCCACCGACCCTGAAAAACAAAAATAATTCCTAAAAAAAACAAAAAAATCCTAAAAAAAATGGCCCTCCAAAGACATCTCGGCAACAGGTGATGTTGAAACCACTGAAAGCGGGCACATGGTGTGGGGCGAAAGCCCGGCGAACCAAATCCAAGCCAAGCTGCTGCTCCAGACCTTAGATGTGCGCAGCTGCAAACCTATGAGCCGTGATGTGAGTCACAATCCAAACCGTGATGCCCTTTGGTGGGCATTTCCATGTGAGTCACTTGCTCCAAACCGGTACTGAAATGCTCTACCCAGAACAGGTAAGGAACTAAGAAGGCGGAATTCCGCAGCGATTTATGGTTGGGATTGTCCCTTACCAACCTTCATCAACCCGGGATTTGATTGTGGCTCATGTGGATGTCATGAAACCTCATCTTCAAAGACGGCGAGCCCTATTGACCCAGGCATCAAACTGCCATACTGCCCTTACTGTGCTGACAAGGCACGCTGGTCGTCTTCCTCCAGCGCCAACTCCGGTGACACCGTTGGTGCCTCTGAAACTGGGCGTGATGGCGGCTCCGCGTTCTCTCGGAGAGCATCGACCTCCGGCGGCTTCTGTCACATGTGTGTGTGCAGGCATGTGCGTGCAAATATCATCTGGCAGCTTCCCTGTTCCGCAACTGAAGGAAAAGGATCCCACAATCCTATCCCGATCGAACTGACTTCACCGAACTCGGCGAGAAAAAAGCGAAAACTTTGTCCGAGGAGAAGGTCAGCCAGCTCCATCTCTGTCCAGAAGTCCTCGCCTCTGCTTGTGAAGCTGCGCTCACCTGCGCTGCATCATGTCACATGACTCACCTGGTGAATGGAAACCTCGAATCTTCATCCTTTGCTCGTTGGTTCTTGTGGGCGAATGGCCATCCCCTGCAATAAGTTTGCTCGTCCCTTACACCCAGGCAGCGCGTTGATCACCTGCGCTCGGCCTCGGGGGAGAGCACGTTGGAGCTGTCGCGCGCCGCCTTCGATCGCGCGTATCGCACGCATGCCGCGGTTGAGCGGAGCTGTGGTGAGCCGAAGTGCTGGTGAGCCGAAGTCCAAGTCACAACTCAATCCCTACTTGAAAAGAATATGGCCACAAAGCCAACCGAGGAACTACATGTTGGCCTTGGAGCTTCTATGCTAGCCCTCTCTTCAGGCCATAAGCGAAAAACTTCTTGGCTCCAGAAATCAAGCGGTATCCTGCCCCGACTGGGTTCCAACTGAGCCCTGCCAAACATTACACTGGTGTTGCTGGTTAGTGGGGGGTGAGACTGTCAGTCCCAAACTTGCTGGTGTTCAGCAAGGAACGAGAATTGGAATGACCCCTAAAAACTATCCCTGGACTCATTCCTACATTCCCTGCCAAAGTAAAGCACCCCTAAAAACCCTTGAACTGGTGGTTTCCTATATTCGGGGGGTTTCCTGGGGTTCATTCCCACCTTCCCTGCCAAAACTGTCATTTTTCTGGCCCCATGTTGAAAGCTCGGCTCCTCAAGCTCGATGTTGTGCACCGCTGTATCGAGCAGCTCCTGGGTTGAGCCAGAAGTGCCGTTGAGCCGATGTTTCGGAGACCTCTTTTCGGGCCGAGCAAAGGGTGAAATCGAGGTCTAAAAAATGCTTGGGGCGGGAAATATGGGAGTTGCTCCAAAGATGTGATCCACGGAAGGGTTTGCCATTGAAGTGAACTAAAGCAACTTGCCCTTGGAGTTTGGTCATCTTTTAAGAGCTCGGAGCAACGCGTAGAACTCTTGTACCATCCGAGAATCATGAGCCAGTGTGTCTTCCATCTCTGGCGTCGCCACGTCCCGCTGAGCGGTCTCTCGCGAGGCAAGGTCCCGCGGAGTAGTCTCCCTGTCGACCTCGGCCAAATATCTCCCCAGACCATCTTGCTCTACATCGGCCGAAACGGCCCAGCCCCCTCACACCCTTCCCCACCTCCGCCAATGCCAAAGCGTCGGCCAGCGACTTTTGCAGCGTCAGCCTCAGGTCTCATGCGCTCCCCGCATCCGATTCTCTAGACGAGTCATGCGACAAATGGCATCGAGGCATGGCGCAGAAGTCAAGCCAAGCTGCTGCTCCACTCCTTAGATCTGCCAAAGCTTGGTGCAGGAACCAGGAGGGCCCGCATAAAAGAGGAGGCTGTGGACCGCTGTGGATACGTGACAAAGGACTCTCATTCATCCTCACCTTCCTCGTGACATAGACATCAAACAGCCAGTGTCATAGTGCTCGAAACAAGGCACGCTGGTCGTCTTCCTCCAGCGCCAACTCGGGTGACACTGTTGGTGCCTCTGAAGCTGGGCCCGAGGGCGGCTTGTCCGCGTTCTCTTGGAGAGAGTCCACCTGTGGCACAAAGCGACCCAGGACCCAGGGCCACTGGGAGAACCAACGCCGAGATGGTGGTTCAGAAACCAATCGCTTCCCCAAACAAATGTGTAGGTGGATGACACCAAGGTTCTTGGATTTGGCAACCTGCCGTGAGATCAAACCGCTGGTAGGTCTGAAGGGGGATACCTCCAAGTTTTGAGGCTTCCCGACTTTGAAGCGACAAGGAGCTGGAAAATGCCCCCTCAAGGGGCGGGCCAAGCTACTTGCATCGACTCACACTGGATCTGCAGCTGCAGTGCCCCAGTCATGTAGGTGTCCACAAGCTGGCCCTGCTCAAATGTTTTGCGCTGATGTGAAATCTGAGTCCAAGTATCCGGTGATGGTTCCCTCAAGCAGAAAAAAGCTGCACTGCGCCAAATCTAAAGGGCTCGGTTCAAACCTACACACAATCGGTGGCTGCTCCTGGAAAAAAAAACAAGTCACAAGGAGTAGTGTGATGCTGTTCTGGCACATGCGAGCGTGAGCCACGACCAAAATATGCGGCAACCCTCAACAACATGGACAAATATGCGCTTGTCATTCTTCCGGGGCTACTCCTTTTCGGTGTTTCTAAAGCGAAACCAAAGGGAAAACCGTTGTTCCATTTTGGGGGGTCCAACCTAGAGAAAGACACACCCATGCGCGTCTTGTGTGCGTGTGTGTGCGTGTGTGTGTGTGTGTGTGTGGAGCCTTTGCAAGCTCTGTTTCGAACCCAAATTGACCATAGACTGGGTTGGTTCACCGAAGCCATGCGGATGTGTCTCGAAAGCGGGAAGGGAACCATGCCTTCGCGGTTTTCCGCTGGCCTCCCTGTTCAACTATCCCAAAAAAGGCGGACACCATGGTTGTCTGAAACCTTAGTATACGGCTGATGACCAGCCCTAGACGGATGCTTGGCCATAACAGACTTGCGTCCAGAGGCGAAATCTGGAGCGCCCCCCACCCCCAAACCAACGATCCGGAAATTTGTGAGTACCGGTGGGGTCCGGTGAAAACTGAAGCGGGACCCTTGTTAGATGCCGCAAAAAAACGGACGGCGGCCCGGCTGGTCCGGTGAATCTGCTTTAGATGGGCTCAGCTCGGGGTTCCCTCATTCCCTGAGAAGCAAGTAAGAGAATGAATGAGGCCTAAGCAAACTCCTTTTGGTTTCCCTAATGCCTGGGCCTGGTTGTTTCAACCTCTTTTGCCCCCCGAAAACTCTGCAAGCCCCCCCCCCCATCCCCCCCCCAAACCCCCACCCCAACCCCCACCCCCCCAACCACCCAACCACCTCCGTTGCCGTGAAGACGTTGGAGCCATAGCGCCGCTCGCTCGCCTCGAGCTCCTGCACCGCGGAGTCCAGCACCTCCTCGGCGACTGCGCGGGATTTGGGCGAGGGAATCATCCCATGGTTGGGGCCCCCCCAGCATAGGATCCGGGCGATTTTATCGACCATAGCATGATTCAAGGGGGCCATACTGGCCCCTCTTTCCGAGGGAACCGGTCGGTTGATCTTTCGGCTAGGTCCTCCAGATTTGAGAGGTTAGAAGAAGTGTACCCGATCTTTTTCTGCAATCTATTTTAGTAGGTGAACCCTCCCAACCGGGAAAAAAAAAGGGTGAAAGGACACTACTGGGGGACCTAGTAGGATTCGGCCGATTTTGGCGACTAAGGCCTATTAGGGGCTAATAGGGTTCCTTTTTCTGGGGGGGTCCCCTCTTTGTGCCCCTGACAATCATGGAAAAATCAAAACGAGACGCAAATTTAGCAAACCACTCACTGGGTTCACTCAGTCCAGAGAGCACAAGTGTGTCAGATAATTGCTTGCTTGGCTTTGTATTTTTGCTTGCTGCAGCAGTTTACCCTTTTTACGAAGCAACCTAGGAGTCTGCCTTCATGATCTGCGTCAGCGAAAAAAGACAAAAGCACGGCGGCATGAGGTTCCCTCGCTAACCAACAAACCAGACGTCCATTTTTTGTCTTTCTTGGCGGCTTCCTTTCTGGAACCAACCAAACAGGGTGCGGTTGGAAATATTGTCAGGCAATGGTTTGCACTGACCAAGTCCGGGAACCTTTTCTGAACCAAAGAGGCTCTACTGCGGATGGACGAAATCCTGCACCACTTAAGAAACCATAGGAAACCATTGTTTGTTGGCATCTACAAGGGAATCGAATCATTCGAGGGTTTCTTCAGTGGTGCGAAAAGGATTTCGTCCATCCACGGTATTTCAACCAATGACTTACACTCTTCAGGCTCCTCTTTGGCTGCCAAAGTTGATTCTTAGGGCCCATGTCTCATTTTGTCTGAGCATCTTGAGCCAGCTTCTCTCCCACATCTGGCTGTTCAGCAGTCTCGGCCTCTGCAACCTCAGAAGAATCGGAAGACATGGGCGAAAGTGCTTGAACAGAGTATGTACATATATATATATATATATATACAATAAACTGGGCTGTCCTCAGATCTGCCAAAAAGTTTGACTTTTACGGTAGTGGGTTAAACAAATGGAACCCCCACCTAAAAACCAGCCATTCTGAACCTAAGGAACCGGATGGCGGGAACCGCAGAGAAAAAAAACTCGCCAATCAAGACTCAAAACTCGAGGATGTGTGACATGAACCACGGATCGGATCCAGCCGTTAGTTTTTCCTGGTGGGTTTCCTGTGCCGCCAAAAGTTGTGGTCCCCTGGAAACATACGCACACAAATGAGGCGAGGAATTCTAGGAACGCCATGTTCTTGAGCAAACAAGCCCCACAATGATGAGCTGGAGCACTTTAAGAGGGACCTGAAAATTTAAATTGGGCCTGGAAAGCCGAAACTGCCATCCCCCCTTTGGCGTCTTTGATAGAAGAAAGAAAACATGGAAGTCAACACCCCAAGGAGAGTCACAACCGCTGTTGGCAGAATCCCTCTCCCTAAAAATCGACAAATGGTGGGTAGGTGTGGCGGTTGTCCGTGGAAGGCTTTCAAAGAGACCAAAAGCACCACAAATTTCAGGTGCCCCACGTTTGAGGAACTAGCTTGCCTCTGAGACAAATCCACAAAAGGTGGGCCCCATTCCAACCCACATGGGACACTTAGCGTAACATATTGTGAGTAGGTATACCAACCATCGGGCCAATCCCACAGACCATCCAAGCATGATTCAGGAAACCATACTGGCCCGTCTATTGGAGGGAACCGGTTGGTTGATCTTTAGGGAAACAGAGTGAGGAACCAACTCCGAACAACATCCCCGCCTCCATTGCTAAAGCTTCCAGTAGCGACTTCTGCAGCGTGAGCCTCAGACAGATTGAGATATCCGCTTCATCATTGAGCTTGTTCTAATCCCAGGTGAGCTGGTTGAAAACTTTGTCCACAAAGCATGTGGGGTCGTGTTTCAAGTTGGAGTTAGTATCATTTTTGGGTGGCTTCAAAGGCGAACCAGAAGGGAATGATCCGTGTTGTGAGATCCACCATCTGAAGGCAATACGAAAGACTTCCTCCTGGATCAGCAAAGAAGCAAAAGCTCTTTGAACAGCATCATTTGTTTGGCTGGCAGTAAAGAGAAAGCCGGCAAATCCACCGTGAACAGAGAGAGGTTCACGGTCGCGCTCCTTTTGGTGAGGACTCACATAAACGTTCCCAACAGAGTAACAACCTGCGCGACTCCTGAAGGGACGCCGTGTTAAGGACCAAAATGAAACTGAAAGGACACTGTTTGTTGGGGTCATTTATGCAAGTATGTCCTGAACCCCCCCCCCCTGCGGTAGGGCTGGTATTCAAGGGAAGCAAAGGCAAACTAAACATACAAAGGAGTTAAAGGGGGGCTCCTTTTTTTAAGGACACACACATACGAAGCAAGTAACATGGAGCAAGTGCGTGTAAGGAACCCTGCAAATGCCTGCTCCTTGATTTGTTGCTTTGAAACACCGTCCAAAAGGGGTCAGTAGGGAGCAAGCTGAAAGACCTGCAGTATCGATACTCCTTCCAAATCTGGACTCGAGTTTCAAACCCATTCAAACCGAGATGTCATACAGTATCAACGTGATGGACTTGCTGGTTGAATTATTCAAAAATAAGTTGGCAGGGTCGCAATTTCCCATAAGTTCCTTAAATATCCAAAAGGGTGCCGTTTGTTTGAGCACCTCCTTGCCACTGGAACCTCAGATGTCAGAAGACAATTTGAGTTGGCACCACTTTTCTGCGCGAACTCTCTCGTCTTCCAAAGGTTCAACAACTGAGGGTTGAGTTTCTAAGGATCGCTTCGCCTTGGTTTACAGGAGGGAACAAAAGGCAAACCCATTTTTGAGGTCCCCCAAGTTTGACACATTCCCGGTCTCATCCGAGATGCTGCTCCATGGTACCTCAGGCATGCAAACCATGGAAAATGCCGGCTGAAGGTGGCTCTGCTCTAACTGGAGGAGTTTCAGGTTCCAACAGTAATTTCAGGAGAGCATGTGCCAAACTATCCAAGGGGGAATGAAAAACCAGCACGAGCCGCGAGGCTCTCTCTGCCTGCGATGCTCAGGAAAACCAATTCCCACTTGTCTTTCGGCAGCTGCATTGTTGTGCCTTTGGAAAGGTACCAGTCAGGCCTGCCCTCACTCCACCAGTTGGTGTTATCATTTGTTTCTCAGAAATACTAGGTGCAGAAATCACATTGATGTTCCCACGGATTTGGTAACTGGGGCAAAGCACAAGGCGGCAAGACCGAGCAATGATAGCTAACCTAGAATCTGGGCAGATTACCTGAAAAAAAAAGAAGCCCAAGCAAAGGCTAGCTGCACCTTCTTGCGAACCAGACTCCCAAAGAGCTCCCTTGACGGAAACAAGACAATCCACCAGCATCATCAGAATTACCAACACCAGCATCATCAACATCACCAGCATCATCAACATCATCAGCATCATCAACATCATCAGCATCATCAACCTCATCAGCATCAGCAACATCAGCAGCATCATCAGCATCACCCACTGCACGCGCATCACCAGCACTACTAGCATCACAAACATCACCCGCATCACCAGCATCATCAGCAGCAATTGAGCATCATCAGCATCACCACCAACCAAATGTTGAGCGACGTGCGCTCCCAAATAGTAAAAAGGCCGCGTGCTGCGCCAAAATGCGCAAAGCTGTGTCGCAATACGAGCAACACACACATGGGCCAAATTCTCTCCCCAACCCCTGATCACAACATGCGCCGTGGCACGCTCATCCTCTTCCCATGCCAGCTCTGGCGAGATCGTGGAGTCAGATCCACGGCGTGAGCGCGGCCGGTTCTCTCTTTCCTGGCCAAATCGAAGTCGCCATGCCCAACATGGAAGGGTCCTGGCATCATTTCTTTAGAATGGTCCATTTCCTTGGGATGGCCTGTTTTGGACCGTTTCAAAGCTCAATTGGACAAAGGAAACCAGTTGGAGCATGAAGGTACGTTTAGCCTTGCAATTTATGATTCCAACCTCCATTTACGCTAGGTGTTGATAACTGTGGACTATCTGGGGACTATGTTCACCAAAGCCCAGACAAAACAAATCATATGGAGTGCTCTCCTTGTCTTTGCACACCCAAATCTAAGATGAAGAAGGTGGAAGCTACAACCGTGTGTTCTTTGTCGAAGTTGTTTGTTTCTAACCAGTGTCCTGCCAGGCCTTCGCAGTTCAGCGAATTTCCCAGGTCCGCTCTGCGGACCACGAGACGTCCGGTGTGTCCCGAACCAGAGAACCACTAGCTGGTGAACTTGTTGTTGCCCAGCATGGTCTTCTCTCATAAAACTAGGGAATTGAACTGCATAAATCACTCGCCAAACAGAGTTGAGGGATCCACCGCTAAAGAACCTGCAGGGGTGGGCGTGTTTACCCCCCAAGAATTGACACACCACGCATTCCCCAACCATCGAGGGAAGCAAATGCTGGCACCCCGCAAGTTGGCTGAGCTTGATTCCTCGCTGGAACCAAAAATTGTCTCCCGCTTGACAGGCCCAACATGCTGCCTCATTGCAGCAGGTTAAGAAACAGGCCTTGCGCCTTGTGTTTGGGCCCTGCGTGGCTCTGCTGTTTGCCAACATCTGGCTCCGATGGTGCCACTCTTCTGCTTGTTTGTTTCTGTTTGTTTCTGTTTGTTTGCTTGCTTGTTTGCTTGTTTTCCAAGAAAAGGGCGAGCCCCTAAGCCTGGGGGGTCCAAGGCGACAAAACGAACCCTTGTCTGGGTTGTCCGTTTTCTGATCCCCAGTTGTGATTGGTTTGGGAACAGGACAAAAAAACCATTGGCTGGACCCCGAAAAGAAACAAGGAAGAAAGGAATTCGGCTTTCAGGGCACCTAGTCGCAAATGAAGGGACTGGTGCTTTAACTCTGGCACATATCGGCGTGCCTTCGTCTTTCCTTTTAGGGGACCCCACAAAACTCGGCTACTTTCTGCTGCCCTGCCAAAAGTTATCTTTTCGTGGTTTAGTTCGGAAAGCCTATGAGTTTGCAAAAAGTTGTTCAGTCCTACCATCCCTTGGCAAAATGCATCAAAGAAAAGCTCAAATTCACTTTCCTCGCATCTCCAGCCCTGCCTCATCGCATTGACCTCGATGCCACAGGATGCCCCCCCCCCCCCGCCTTTCTCCGATCCAATGGAGGGACCAAATCCATGTCACACCAGCTGGAATGGATGAGAAACTCCGGTAAAAGCTGCGAGAAACCACCTGAAGGGTGCGAGATTGATGTTGGCCTTCCACGGTACCTTTCTGACGGCCCTCTAGCTTCCGTCGAGTGCTTCCCTTCAAGTACTGGAACTCTGTGTTCATCCAAAGGGAAAAGCGGGTAAAAATAAACCCCTGGATCAGTTTTTCGGATGAGCAACGCCTTTCGGGTGGGAGTCAGAGTTGACCAAACTGCAAGGCACAAGTATCGTAGTGCCAGAGTTGGAACTATTGCTCATGCAAATCGTCCAACTCCTCCTTGCAGTGGGTACCTCCTTGCAGCTGAGCTGCGTGAGTCAGGACGCATACCATCTGAACCTCAGCAAGAGGTATCCTTTTTGGTTTGCTTGGAAACGGATGGCCCTGGTAGATTCATACTGTGATCAAAAGGTTCACATGATAGATCCCTGGCCAGAATACCAAACCATACTCTGAAATTAAAGAGACAAACGCATTCATACGATATCGAGTAGGGGGAGGAAACCAGAAACCAGAAACACTGCAAACACAAACCCAGGGGCCTAATAGGCCGAACACATCCACCAGAGGCCGAAACGAAAATGGCCACCAACACACCAATCCGGACACCCCATCAACCGTTACCGGTCGGTCAGGGGGCTGGACAGGTCACAGGGAGTTGGAGGAATTCCCAGGGGAACCTGAAGTGACCCAGGCCCATGTCACAAGCCTTTGCCTCGAATTTTCAAGATTCTGGTTTCTGCGCCGAGTATGGCTCAGTACTTCATCCATGCACAAAAACATGTGTCCCCCCAAGATAGCCCAACACCCTCTGAAGCTTTCAAGGCGCGGAGAAGCTCTGAGAAGGGCTGAGTCAGCGAGGTCAGCGCCTCTGGCACCTCCTACGAAGCAGAACCAAAGCCATCCGTGCGAACCGAAGGTCCCGAAGCCGGACCAAAGGTCATCTCTTTGGGGCGGCCGCCGGCGAAAAGCAGCTAACCCGCCCAAAACCGGAAGTCCGCAAAAACAGGGCCCAGGAACCTTCGTGAACAAGGTCGCATACCACACGCGCACGCTCCTTGAGAGGTTGCAGTATGAGAGCCCAAGAGACGTTACTTTCCAAAAACTGGTAAAACAGCTCAGTTCCAACTTGCTGAAAGAGCCAGATTGCCTTCAGCCGAGGTTGCTTTCAACCAAACACAAGGGGGAACCAAAAGGTCCTATCCGGCCGACACGCGCTGGGCAACTATGACCGGGAGTGATACTTTCACACCGCAGAACCTGCCCGGGCAGGAAATGTTGTTCAGTGACCTAGGATCAGCTTCCCTCGAATTGGTGGTTTGGATTGGAGGTTTGGTGGTTTGGTGGTTCAGGACAGTTTCCCATTTTCCCATTTAGCAAGAACGAGGGACGACGTTCAAATCCAAATCCAAATCACCAATTAGGGGCTACCTGATAGTATGTTTCGCCAGACATGGGGGTCCTGGTTGGATCATCTTCCTTTTTAAGGGACCCCAAACGTCAAGTTCCATGCTACCATGTCCTTGCAGACCTGGTAGCTCCCAAAGGCTCCCTCTTTCAAAGCAAGCTATACAGCTCCTCAATCCAACCAGCCAGGTGAAAAGGGCGAAAACAGGTGAAAACATGGGGGTCCTGGCTTGGATCATCTTCCTTCTTTCCGGGGCCGGGTTTTTGAACCTCAGGTACGTGAAACGGGATGCTCGGCTTCCAACAGCCCACTGGGTTTCAGCCGAACGCGGCCTCCTGCGACTTGACCTTCGAGGCATCCGTGACCCGACTCTCGGCCTGCGCGCGGCCAGTGACCGGGTGCCTGGGTGGCTCGTCCGTTTTTGGAGGGAACCCCACGTCTGGTGTGGCTTTCAAGGGAAACCAAGAAAAGAACCGAAGCCATTTGGGGGGGGGTCGCCAAAAGCCAACACACCCAGTTGTTCCTTCCAAATGGGCTTGTTCTGAAAAGGATCCTAAGAAGCAAGTGGTCAAATGGCTTTCCCAGCTCCGTGTTGGAACGGCTACCCATTGAAAAGGATATATGGCAGCAACACGAGCCCGGGACTCTGCCTCCCAAAGTTGTCCGCCTTTTGGGTCCCATTCAACTTCAGCCAACACGGCAACCCATTGGCACCCGGATGTGGTCAATCGTTTGCACGAGTTCTATCGCTCGCGTTGGGCGAAATGAGCTTAGCCATGAAGGTCCTCACTTCTGGATCTGTTTCAGGTTGGTGAACCATTGCCGTATTTTCGCTTGTGTGAAATGATTGCTTCACGCTGCGAGCGGGCACAGCCCTCAGACAGCAGGCAGAGAGAGAGAGAGAGAATTGAAGTATAGTAATGAGTGAAATATTCATAGATTGAAATGTATGACACGTTCATCATAAGTGCGTATTTGCGAACCCAACTTTCGAGCCACATTCTGCGAGTCAGGTTGACCTCCGCTCGCTTCTTGCTGCTCGCTGTTCTTTATTCTCGGGGGACTCAGATGTGTCTTTTTCAGGGGATCCCCCCAAAATGGAGGTTTTCCTTTTGGTTTCCCTTGAGAAGCGCCGAAACAGGGGTGCCCCAAAAAACTGACACGCAGTGGACCCGCAAATGGCAGCTCTTCATTTGGCTTTCCGAACACCAAACCCCAAGTTTGGGACAGCCACTTGGGTTCTGCAGTGCGGCTATTTGGCAAGACAGGACCCCCCAATGCCCTCCCCAAGAAAGGGATGTCTCTTTGAGGATTCCAAGGAAATCTCCCTGCAAGTGGCTCTTTGTCGGTAGATGGCCCAAAGGAATGAACATGAACAAGCAAAATAAACAAACAAAAACAAGACTGGGGCACATGAACAACACCCTGGGAGCACGCTCTTGGGACATTACAATGGCAACTGAAAGAACCAGTTGTTCTGGAAACTCAATCACGGGCGGCAATATTGTAGGGGGTGTCCTCCCTCCCTTCAAGAAAAAAGAAGAAATTGATCCTCCCAAAGGTGCTGGGTTGGTGGGAGGAGCTGTACGAATCCCAGGGGTGCCACACAGAAGCTTTGTGTTTTTTTCTGATTCAAAGGCAGCTCTCGGAATCATTGCGGCCGAATCACAATTCTTGGCTGGAACTAGCACCCCAGCAGAAAAATAGGTTTCTTGCCTGGTTCGTGGAAAACCCCGGGCACCCCAAAGCAGCAAAAAACAGCGAAAACTCGGGAGCAAATGTTCCGGGGAAGACTCGGTGTGTTTTTTTCGGTACGCGAACATGTGGTCCTTTTCTTGATCCCAGGTCCTCAGACACGCCCAAGGGGGCACCACAGTCCCGGGCGGGGAAAAGCTGCCGGCGCTTTTGGCTTTTGGCAAAGTAAAGGAGAAGAAGTTCTATGAAAGCAACGCCAGACTTCGGCAAGCCCGAGTGATCGAATATTCGGCCTCGGAGGCGTCGATCAGAGATGCATCCTGAGCAATACCGGAGCCGAGTTGAGTAGGTATCCTTGATACAAAAGACATAACAGCCATATGTGAATACCACACATGTACCTCTGGGTATGTGTCAAAATAGAGGGACCCGAAATACTTGCGGTTTTCCTGTTTGTTTTCTTTTGAACCAACCAAAAAGGGTTTCCTCAAACGAACACATATACAGATACAGATGTGCACAAATGAACACAGGTGGTCAGGCCCCCCATTATCCACTTCCAGCTTGCTCATTTGTTTGAAAAAACACTGTCTTGTGACATGGAGCGTCTGGCGGCCTGAGCATATGTATAGATAGGCAAATAGAGAAATACGCACAATTGCATATGGCATATACCAAATATTACACCAGCAGAGACCCCAAACAGTTGAGGGCTGACGGGCGAGCACAAACATGCCAACAGCTTGTGGCTTTCTGCGCTTCAACACGGATGAATCAAAATGATGCAGTCGTGAACCTGGCGCGCGTTGCGTTGCTGCACGTGTGTTGCTGGCATGCTTCGCGCTTCAGCACCGCGCCAGAACTGAGGTTGGGCAAGCGCGCGCGATGGCGGGCGAGCGCGCGCGCGTGAACGCAAGTGTGGCCGCGCAAGCACGCAGTCACATGGGCAGTTCAAACACACATGTCCAATTCAGACACACATGTGTGTACACGTGGAACACACATACGTATACGACTGAAACAGTATACATTCACCTGCGGCACACGCATAAATGTGTTGAGCTGGAAAACAAACATGTGCTTCTTGGAAAGCACACACACACATGTGCAAACGTGGAACGCACATATGTGTTCACTTACGACACGCTAATGCGTTCACGTGGAACACACATGTGTGTTCACTTGGAACACAATGAAACGCGTGTCCAATTCAGACACACATGTGTGTACACGTGGAACACACATGCGTTCACCTGGAACACAAAGACGCGCAATTAAAGCACACATGTGTGTACGCGTGGGACACACATATGTATACCACTGGAACACAAACATGTGTCCACCTGGAACACCGCGTGTGCGATTAAAGCACACATGTGTGTACATGTGGAACACACATATGCGCACACGTGAGCAAACATAAATGCTCACCTAAATCGCACACACATGCGCGCACCTCGAAAACAATCATGCGTTTTCTGGAGCGCATACATGTGCACACCTGGAGAGCAAATATGTCGTCAGATGCCAAAAAAAGTTCATCTAGCACATACTAATGTGTTCACGTGAAACACACATCTGTTCACCTGGAACACAAACACGTGTCCAATTGGAACACACATGTGCGTACACGTGGAACACACATATGTGCACACGTGAACACGCATATGTGCACACGTGAACACTCACATATATGTGCACCCGGAACACACACCCGTGTGCTCATCTGATAACAACCATGTGTTCTCCTGGAACACAAACACGTGTCCAATTGGAACACGCATGTGTGTACACGTGAACACACATATGTGTACACGTGGGAGACGCAAATGCGCACACGTGAACACACACACATGTGCACACGTGGAACACACACATGTGTACTGCACATGTGAACACACACATTTATGCGCGCGCGGAAAACACAGACACACACGAGTGTTCATCTGATAACAAACACGTGGTCTCCTGGAACACAACCGTGTGTCTAATTGGAACACAACCGTGTGTACACGTGAACACACATATGTGTACACGTGAACACACACATATTTATATATATATATATATGCGCACCCGGAACACACACACACACGTGCGTTCATCTGAAAACAAACATGTATTCACCTGAAACACAAACACGTGTCCAATTGGAACAAACATGTGTGGACACATGAACTCACAAATGTGTACATGTGGAACACACATATGTGTGCAAATGAACACACATACATGCGCACGCGGAGCAGACACACACACACACACACACACGCGTTCATCTGATAACAAACATGTGTCCTCCTGGAACACAAACACGTGTCCAGTTGGAACGCACATGTGTGCACGCGCGAACACACAATGTGTGCCGTGAACACACATACAAAAAAGTGCACGCGGAGCAGACACACACGCACGTGTTCATCTGATAACAAACATGTGTTCTCCTGGAACACAACCGTGTGTCTAATTGGAACACAGACGTGTGTACACGTGAACACACATATGTGTACACGTGAACACACACATATATACGCGCACCCGGAAACACACACACACACGAGTGTTCATCTGAAAACAAACATGTGTTCACCTGGAACACAAACACTGTCCATTGACACACATGTGTGTACACGTGAAACACATATTGTACACGTGGGGACGCAAAGCGCACAAACACACACATGTGCACACGTGCAACACACACATGGTACACACATTGAACACACACATTTATGCGCGCGCGGAAAACACAGACACACACGAGTGTTCATCTGATAACAAACACGTGTTCTCCTGGAACACAACCGTGTGTCTAATTGGAACACAGACGTGTGTACACGTGAACACACATATGTGTACACGTGAACACAGCACACGTGGAACACACACATGTGTACTGCACATGTGAACACACACATTTATGCGCGCGCGGAAAACACAGACACACACGAGTGTTCATCTGATAACAAACACGTGTTCTCCTGGAACACAACCGTGTGTCTAATTGGAACACAGACGTGTGTACACGTGAACACACATATGTGTACACGTGAACACACACACATATATATGCGCACCCGGAACACACACACACGTGCGTTCATCTGAAAACAAACATGTATTCACCTGAAACACAAACACGTGTCCAATTGGAACACACATGTGTGGACACGTGAACACACAAATGTGTGCACGTGGAACACACATATGTGTGCAAATGAACACACACACATGCGCATGCGGAGCAGACACACACACACACGTGTTCATCTGATAACAAACATGTGTCCTCCTGGAACACAAACACGTGTCCAGTTGGAACGCACATGTGCGCACGCGTGAACACACAATGTGTGCACGTGAACACACATACAAAAAAAGTGCACGCGGAGCAGACACACACGCACGTGTTCATCTGATAACAAACATGTGTTCTCCTGGAACACATACACGTGTCTGATAAGAACACACATGTGTGTACACGTGAACACACATATGTGTACACGTGCAACACGCATATGTGCGCACGTGAACGCACATATGTGTACATGTGGAACACACATATGTGCACACGCGAACACACACACACACATATATATATATATATATATGCGCGCCCGGAACACGCACACACACACATGCGTACACCTGGAACACATATGTGTGTATGTCTGGAAAGCACATTTCTGTTCACCTGCAACACACATATGTGTTCACCTGAGACAACGGGAGACAAATAAAGGGAGACAAAGGGAGACAAATCAATCCGTCCACCCACAGAGATGGGAGACAAATGAAGGGGAACCAAGGGAGACAAGTGAATCCGTCCGCCTGGAGAGCCGTGACAGACATCCAGGCTGGGAGACAAGGGGAGCCAAATGAAGGGAGACAAAGGGAGACAAGTGAAACTGTCCACCCAAAGAGCCGTGCCAGGCATCCAGGCTGGGAGACAACGGGGGACAAATGAAGGGAGACAAAGGGAGACAAGTGAATCTGTCCGCCTGGAGAGCCGTGCCAGACATCCAGGCTGGGAGACAACGGGAGACAAATGAAGGGAAACAAAGCCCAGAGAGCCGTGCCAGACAAATGAAGGGAGACAAAGGGAGACAAATGAACCCGTCCACCCAGAGAGCCGTGCCAGGCATCCAGGCTGGGAGGCAACGGGAGACAAATGAAGGGAGACAAAGCGTGACAAATGAACCCGTCCACCCAGAGAGCCGTGCCAGGCATCCAGGCTGGGAGACAACGGGAGACAAATGAAGGGAGACAAAGGGAGACAAATGAACCCCTCCACCCCAGAGAGCCGTGACAGGCGTCCAGGCTGGGAGACAACCGGGGCCAAATAAAGGGAGACAAAGGGAGACAAATGAATCCGTCAGGCAAATGGAGGGAGAGGGAGACAAATGAACCCGTCCGCCGGGAGAGCCGGGACAACCCCAGGTGCCAAGAGCACCACTGGGTATCTCAGCGTAAGGTTCGTTGAACATCCTCGAAGAATCGATAGAGGATTTAACTCCAGCGTGATTCACGTTTGTTTCACCGGGGGGTTAACAGAGCCTTCTCGTAGCTGAAGCCGCGCACCGCAGCGCACCGCTATCGTCAGCTCGGGACCGCAACTGATAACGAGGCACTGAACGAACAGACAGGGTGTAGCCAACGATAGACAAGGAAGACGACCCACCACGAGCCCAAGCGAAATCGAAGTCCAGATGAAGGGCAGACAGAGGAGGACCCTGTCCCCAACATCCACAAGACAAGGAATGACCGAAGCCAGGGCCAAAGCCGAAGGCAAACCAGACCCCGCCAAAAGGACAGAACCGCGGGAAGTGAAGGAAACCGCGGAGCGTGAGTGCCACACATCCAGGCTGGGAGACAACGGGAGACAAATGAATCCGTCCACCCAGAGAGCCGTGCCAGGCATCCAGGCTGGGAGACAACGGGAGACAAATAAAGGGAGACAAAGGGAAACAAATGAATCCGTCCACCCACAGAGATGGGAGACAAATGAAGGGGAACCAAGGGAGACAAGTGAATCCGTCCGCCTGGAGAGCCGTGACAGACCTCCAGGCTGGGAGACAACAGGAGCCAAATGAAGGGAGACAAAGGGAGAAAAGTGAATCTGTCCACCAAAAAAACAGTGCCAGGCATCCAGGCTGGGAGACAACGGGAGACAAATGAAGGGAAACAAAGGGGTGCCAGACATCCTGGGAGACAAAGGTAGACAAATGAACCCGTCCACCCAGAGAGCCGCGCCAGGCATCCAGGCTGGGAGACAACGGGAGACAAATGAAGGGAGACAAAGGGAGACAAATGAACCCGTCCACCCAGAGAGCCGTGCCAGGCATCCAGGCTGGGAGACAACGGGAGAAATCAAGGGAGACAAAGGGAGACAAATGAACCCGTCCACCCAGAGAGCCGTGCCAGGCATCCAGGCTGGGAGAGAACGGGAGACAAATGAAAGGGGACAAAGGGAGACACATGAACCCGTCCACCCAGAGAGCCGTGCCAGATCCAGGCTGGGAGACAACGGGCGACAAATGAAGGGAGACAAAGGGAGACAAGTGAATCTGTCCACCCAGGCATCCAGGCTGGGAGACAACGGGAGACAAATGAAGGGACAAAGGGAGACAAATGAACCCGAGCCGCGCCAGGCATCCCTGGATGCCTGGGAGACAAATGAAGGGAGACAAAGGGAGACAAATGAACCCGTCCACCCGTGCCAGGCATCCAGGCTGGGAGACAACGGGAGACAAATGACAAAGGGAGACAAATGAACCCGTCCACCCAGACTGGATCATCCAGGCTGGGAGACAACGGGAGACAAATGAAGGGAGACAAAGGGAGACAAGTGAACCCAGGGAGACAAACGAACGCGTCCACCCAGAGAGCCGTGCCAGGCATCCAGGCGGGGAGACAACGGGAGACAAATGAAGGGAGACACAGGGAGACAAATGAACCCGTCCACCCAGAGAGCTGTGCCAGGCATCCAGGCTAGGGCTTGGCAACAGGCGAGCCACCTTAAATGAATTTAGAACCCCTCACAGTAAACTGTTTGGGGAAAAACAGGTGACCGCCAGAGCAATGGTTGGTTTCTGCAACAAAGGTAAGCAGGCCAAATGCCGTTCAAAAAAATAAGGAGACACTTCAGTGCGAAAACAGTCTGCTGCCGCCCCAGCGTGCCGGGCACTTCCATGCTGCTCAGTTGCTTTTCACGTTGCTCCTAAGGGACCTTCTCGCTTGGCCAAGCTTGATTGCTTTGCCGGTGCTCAGTAGGGAATGAGCCAGGGTGTTGAGAATGAACCCTTTGGTTTTGGTCTAAGCCGAGGTAAAGCATTCTGGGGTGTAATCAAGCCAAATTAAGGACGAATCCTTTCCAAAGAAGATTTTGTTGCACGACATTTGTTCAAACATGTTGAACCTATTGGGGTTGCATGAAACGTGCTTCGACCATCCGAAACGATTTTTCGTGATCGCAGATGCATTAAGCAAGCAAAATAGTGCTTGGAAAAGATCTGCTTACCTCCAAAGTTGCTTCAAAATGTCGCGCGCGTCCAAGTAACGAGTTGACATCTTGAGGGTTTAAACGTGGTTATTCTCTCCTTCCCTGCCTATCGAACCAGCACCAAAAACAAAAAGAGAGCTGCCGCCAAACGGGGGGGCCCAGATCTTCTGTTACAGGGGAGGTGTTCGTTTTGAGAGCCGAATTCATTGTTTCAGGGAACCATTGGAGATCTCGAGTTGAAGCCATGGAAAACCCGACCTGCACGGGTTCCCAATTTTATGAGAAAGACCCATTAAAAGCACGGGTAGTTTCGACTAAGATGCATTCAGTGACATCCTTCTTGTTTTTGCCCTCAGGCTTCCACAAAAAGTTCATCTTTGGAACCCTCAAACAAACCAGGGCGCACCCACAGAAGGGGATCCTCCGGTGATTTTTTGCGCTGGCCCCTATCCTGATAGAGGGACCCCACGGAACCCCAAGGCAGCCACCAGCAAACGACCTTCAGTAGGGAAGCTTGACAACAGCTCAGAGTGATCCAGACCCTAACTTGTCGGCTGATTGATCGTCCTTCCGAGTTACGTCCGTTCGCGTGTTCGCGGAATCAAAACTTGAGCTCTAAGCTTAGTCCATATTTCTCTGCGGGCGCCCTTCCAAGTTGCCGATCGTTTCGACACGGGAGCTCAAAATGCGGGCGACTCCCCCAAATCTCCGGTTGACCGCAAAGAAAGGATAGAGACAAAGCAGACATACGCGTCATCGATCGCCGCTCGAGCCGTCGCCTTGTCTCGGGAGAAAGCTGCCCAAACGGCATCCTGCGCGGTCAACGAAACGGGATCCTGCGCAAAGCAGCCCGTCCCCAAGAACAAAACGGCGGCAAGCCCAAAAAAAATGCCAGGAACCGTCAATGATACCCTCGCAAGGCTGTTCAACATGGGCCAAACCGGTGAGAAGGGACAAAATCCGTTCGTACGGAAAAAAATATCTGGACATGATAGCAAGAAGGCGCGTCAAGTTGCCATTTCAACTGTTTCCGAAGCGAATCAAGGGTAAACCGTAACAACGGGAAGCCTTCTGGTCGTTTTTTTCGGGTTTTGCGGACTTTGAGAAGCTCACATTTGCATTGCTTGCTGTCTTGTCCGCAGTGGGCCGGAAGCCTTGGTCCCAGCCACCTCCCCAGCTTCCCGGTTGAACTCGGAAGCAGACTTTGGACCTTACCCGAACACCGCCAGCTCTTTGCGCTTGAAAAAGAACTCCTCTTGGCTGGTTGCTTGGCTGCCTTTTTCCGGGCGCCCAATTCCCAAGTCCCAATCCCCCCCCTTTTCGGGGGAAAAGGTGAGGGGTAAGTGGTCCTCCACCGTGTCTTTGATCATGGGCATCATATCGACCTGGCCGGCAAACCCCGCTCCGTCTAAACTCGGACTGTCCAAAACACAGGTTTGGGGCTGGTTTTTGAAGTGTCCCAAGATCGAAGATGTCCAGGCTGAAACAATCACCCCCTACCCTGAAACGTTGCCAACTATTTTAACATATAGTATAACTAGTTCAGGCAAAAAGCATGGCACCAAAACGGACCTACGGCCAAAAAGATAGTACGGCCATGAGTTTAACAGAACCCTCAATTTCCCAGGAAGAGCTTTGACATAGAACCCTGACTTACTGCACAGCAGGACGTTCCGTTGTCTTTTTTGAGGTTGGGACAAGTTTGGCATACCGCCGAGACGGAACCTACATTTGTTGGACCGCAAGTTTTCCAGGGTAACCTGCGAAGGACCGCCCTTTCGTAATAATTCGGCGTTTTTGCAAACCCCATGGAGGTCAAATCTAACATGCGTGTGTCTCTTTTTCGGGTACCCCCAAAATGATTTCCCCTTTCAAACCACCAAACAAAAAAAAGATGGTATCCAGCTGGGAAGTTTAGGCTGTCCCATGTCTAGCGTCATCGACTTGCTTTGCGAGCCGAAAGTTTGTGCTTCAGTCAGACATCAGTCCTTTAAGGGATCAAGGACGAGTGCCCCTTGACCAGTTAGCTCATGGGTCCAGAAGCCCTGGATGAACCTGGGTCATGAAACGAACTGCTGACCCCTACGGCGCGGGGGAGAAGAAAAAAACAACTCAAAAAAAAACACCTCAAAACGAGCTGCCGCCCCTCTAACTGCCGCCCCTCTCGCACGGGAGAAAAAAAAGAAAGGGTCCTGTTCCCGCGCCTCGTTGGAGTCCGTGTCAGAGCCCGAGTCCCTGACGAGGTCCCAAAGTGGGGAGGTCTCGTGCAGGTTTGCCATGGAAGATGCCCGCCCCCCCAGCAAAAAAAAGAAAACAAGATACCCCCCCCCCCAAACCAAAAAATATTATACATTATTTTTTGAAAAAAAAGAGAAAAAAAAAAAAAACGCGGCTTTTGGCTAAAAGAACTGCCGGCATCATTTGCCATAGACCTGCACTTCCTAGAGTTGCCCTCGGCTCTACGTCCAGAGCTACGGGAGGTTCCCAGAGATGGCTCGCTGGTTGAATGGGCAGGGAAGGAGGTGGAATGACCCCGAGAAAAACCATCGACATGAAACCACGGTTGAAACCAGGGAATTTTTGGGTAACAGGGAACTCATCAGAAACCAGGGTTCTTAGGTGCTGCGAAATGGATTTTGTCCTTTTACAGTGTGGATCATAGCCTGAACATGTTGCTTTTGGTCTACCCCAGATTCCTTTAACTTTATTCGGGAATCCCATAAACGGGTTCATTTCCGACATCAGGAAGGTCATTCCCTGCCTATCGCACCAGCAAGATAAGCAGAGTAACTGCTTTTCAAACTCCGGCCACGGTGATCCATTTCCAGAAAGGAACCCTCGCAATGGTGGGAAACCCGGATTGCCATCCCTGCTGAAGAATGTGTCGACCGCTCGCAGCAGGCATGCCGTGGAAAAACAAGAGGAAATTCTCCGGTCAGAACTCGTGTCTTGATTTCACAAAACAAGAAGAGGAGAAGAAGGTCGCCACAGTCATCTCCCACATGCGCTAGCCCGCATTTGATGTTGAGCCCCTCCGTTGTGTCGGAAACCGAATAGCCGGCTTCCAGCTAAAAAAATCAACATGTCTCGAGTTGAAATGATTGCCGTTGATTTAAAAAAAGGAGAAAAACAAAAAACGAATGGTTTGTCTCTCTTCTATCTTGCGCCAGGTCCACATAGTTCTCGTGGAGTTCCTGGAGACCCCTCGGCGCGAGCACGAAGACGATCCCTCGGCCCGGCCTCGGCGGCGGCACGTCCTCGGCACGGCGTGGTTGTTTTGTTTGTTTTTGTTGGCGGCATCCAAAAAAACACGAACTAGGTCCTCCAGATTTGAGAGGTTAGAATAGGGGTACCAACTTGTTTTTCTGGTCTGTTTTGGTAGGGGAGCGCGACTCTCCCAACCAAAAAAAGGGGAGAGAAGGGCACTACTGGGGGACCTAGCTAAATAAAGACATGCCAACAACGGTGAGGATATTAAGGCCGAGAAGAAAGAACAAAAAAAACATACGGCCTTGACAGTTGCGGGTGAATCAAACGACTTCTTGTTCTGTCACAGCTGGCGTAGCTTAAGCCTGTATATGGGGATGATTCTCTTTCAGGAAGGTACCCCCTTTCTGTGGGGTTTTTAATGGGAAACCACCAATGGTACCATTCTGGGGTATGTGCACCGCCCATTTTACACCATTTTCGTGGGGACTGGGATGTTCACTGGGTACGGGGTTTGGACCCATAGCCAAATGAGCCGGGCGGAGAGAAGAAAAGAGATGCCTCAAGGATGCCTAAACAAACTGGGAGGGATGCCCCTAACGATGCCTTGCCGGCCCCGCAAACGAGCATCTGCCACTTGCCAGTTTGCCGCCTCAAGAAATGTTGGCCAGGAGGTTGGCAGGGAGGGGAGAAGGGCCCTGTTTTCCAAGCCCCATACTCTTTATATGGGTGTGTCATCTTTTGATAAGGCACCCAAAAGCTACTCTTCCGAGGGTCCAAGATGGGCGGCTCCAGGAGGACCACGCTCTTCCGGGACTCCGAGTCCGTGACCATGATGCCGAAGGGCACAACTTTGGGCTCCTCGCTCGAGCCACTTCCCCGAACTCACAAGCCATGGGGAAGAGGAACCCCCAACCCCCCCCCACCCCTGAATTCAACCAAAGACTTACCCCTGCAAATTAACACGGAACCCAAATAAAAGGCAAAGGAAGATTCCTCTAGACTTGGGTATGGTCAAAGTTGAGCCACCAGGGGACCGCATGTTTTAGCCCTAGTTTCCATTTGCCAGGGTTCCAGATTAGGCTATTTTGGACCCACACCCAAATGACGGGTTTTTGTAGGGGGTCCATGTGAACCTGTCAGCATACAGCAAGTTGTTCCACAAGAGAAACACGCCAGCCATGGACGGGCCATGCCGTTCTGCGCCAAACTATTGGGGACCCCCACCAGGTGCTTGGAAAACAAGAGGAACCATTTTGAGAAAGCCAACCATGAGCAAAAACGACCATAAACTCAAAAGGTTTGAGCAACTATGTTGAGGGGTCCGACTCAACTTTCATGTTCAGCAAAACAACCTGGTGGTCAGGTGCTTGGGCCTGAGTACTGCGGGACCCCCAAAACAAACATCTGTTTTTGGAAACCCTCAGAATTCTAGGGGCACCTCCCATGTCCATTCTTTCCAGGGATCCTTCTTTCTAGAAAGCCACCAAAAGTCCTGGGGAAATGGATCCGGTCTTTAAAAGAACGATGGCTGGAAAGAATGGACATGGAATCGACCCCTAGAAGAATTGACTGTCTCAGTGGATGGCCTTTTTTCGGCTTCAGGCTGCATGCCAAGATTCAACCTCGAGCTCGTCCACCATTCCAGGAAGCGCCTGATCCAAGCAGAATCGCCAAAACACAAGGACTTATCCAAAAACAATCTTCAAAAGATGGGGGAAAAAAGGCCGTGATCAAGGGAGGAGCCTTTTTTTCGAGCAAGGCCGAATCAACAGCGCTAAAAAAGGCACTCTGCGGCATCAAAAAAATGCAAATCTCTCAAAACCACATCTCCCCTCGCCTCGTTGCTGGCCATGAATTCCTCCTGTCTTCTTGGGCTCGGCACGGACAGCATCGACTCCTTCCTCTCCAACCTCGCTTTCGCCAAGGGCGTCGTCTCCTCGCACTTCGGCTCGCTCGGCACCGCCGGCGCGACCTCAATCTGACCCCCGAAAAGGATGCGATTTCGGACCCTGGGTGTGTTGAGGGACCCACAGGGCCATGGGTCAAAACCCCATATCCCCAATGAACATCCCAATCCCAACTAAAATAGACTAAAATGGGTGGTGCACCTACCCCAAAATGGTACCATTCGCTTTGACCCGCAGCCACATGCTTCAAGAGTGGCGAGTTGGGGCCGCAAGCATTTTCCAGAGGCCCCATGCTGGAAATTCAAAAAATCTGGAACCTGGAAGTGCGCCAAACTAGATCCCCCCCGAAATGCATGGAAGATTACTCTGCGGATGCTTTTCGAACGGGCGAGTTCTGTCACACACAAACTTATACACACACACACACACACACACACCCACGCACGCACGCACGCACGCGCGCGCACACACACACACACCACACCCACCCACCCACCCACCCACCCACCCACGCACGCACGCACGCCCGCCCGCCCGCCCGCCCGCCCGCCCCGCCCGCCCGCCACGCCTGCCCGCCCGCCCGCACCGCCCGCACGCACGCACGCACGCACGCACGCACACACGCACGCCCGCACGCACGCACGCACGCACGCACGCACAGCAGCACGCACGCACGCACACGCACGCACGCACGCAAGCACCCACGCACGCACCCACACACACACACACACACACACACACACACACACCCACACACACACACACACACACCCACGCGCACACGCGCACACGCGCACACGCGCACACGCGCACACGCGCACACGCGCACACGCGCACACGTGCACACGCGCACACGCGCACACGCGCACACGCGCACACGCGCACACGCGCACACGCGCACACGCGCACACGCGCACACACACACACACACACTCCAATTGCAGGCGAGAAGGAAACCGGACCTAAAGGCAAGAAACTGTAGAGAACGCGTGAACCGAATGAACAACTATAGGAAACCACGGAATTCAGGAGAACTATAGGGATCCCTTGAAAACAAGATAAAACAGTAAGGAACCCTTCAAACAACTGAAGGGGCAACTGTACAGGGAACCCTCGACTCGGGAGAGATCGCTTAAACCACCGAGGAACTTTTTCGAGCCCTGCCTCTTCAATTTCGTCGGCATGCGTTGGCACCTCTTCTTCCTCCTTTTGCACGTCGGTTCTAGCGCCGGAGGTTGCTGCCGCTGCTGTTCTTTCCTTAAAGTCCAGGAGCTGCTCCCAAACTCGGGGGTCAGTTCGGTGTCAGGAGGGTAGAGAAAAAAAACGGTCTCAGCCAAATGGCCAAAATGTTGATTCGCTTTGGGCAACCGAGTTTCTGCCGTGGCCTCCAGACCTTGCCGCTCACGCGCATCACTTTCTCTGCTCTCCAAATTGCGCACCTCAGCTGCTGGTCCCGGCCTTTGAAAGTCACTGGATGACTCCCTCAAGTTCCCCGTGGAAAACCCTCATGTGGCTGTGGCTCAGAAAAATGTACCAACATGGCACCTTGGTAAATGGAACCAAAGACTAAGACCTGCGGTTTGCCCTAGCTCTGTAATTTTGAGCACCCATATAAGGGCAAATGAACCGGGCCAAACTAGGAACATGTCCCCGGCACATGGAAAGTTTTGGTGCGGAAGGGCCTCTGGTTTGCGAGTACTTTTGGTCCACTGTTCTAGACCAATTGGTCAGTGACTCGTCTGTATGTTGTACAGGTCGCTTTCCCAAAATGTCCGGATGGAGTTTCCAACAACGACAGCCATGGGCTTCGGAACCAGTGGAGAACTCGTAAAACCACATGGGGAACTATAAGAAACCCTTCACACCAAAAATATACAGTACGGAACCAGGGGAACTATAGGGATCCATTTCAAACAAAGATAAAACAGTAAAGAACCCTTCAAACAACTGAAGGGGTAACTGTACAGGGAACCCTCGACTCGGGAGAGATCGCTTAAACACCGAGGAACTTTTTCGAGCCCTGCCTCTTCAATTTCGTCGGCATGCGGTGGCGCCTCTTCTGCCTCCTTTTGCACGTCGGTTCTAGCGCCGGAGGTTGCTGCCGCTGCTGTTCTTTCCTTAAAGTCCAGGAGCTGCTCCCAAACTCGGGGGTCAACATATTTCTGATCGGGCTGTTCTCAGTTCGGTTTCAGGAGGGTAGAGAAAAAGCGGTCTCAGCCAAATGGCAAAAATGCTGATTCGCTTTGGGCAACCGAGCTTCTGCCGTGGCCTCCAGACCTTGCCGCTCGCGCGCATCACTTTCTCTGCTCTCCAAATTGCGCACCTCAGCCCCGCGTGGACCCCATGGAAAACTCTGGCTTCAGTGAATATGTCCCCAGCACGTCGAAAGTTTACCTTTGAGTTTCCATTGAACGGGTCACCCAAGCTCATTCAGAAACTACCAGGTCGCTCATGTTTTCTGTAAGGGAGCCAGCGGGAATCAACACATGTTCGGTGGACCAAACATGGTAAATTAGATGGACTAATCAACCCCAGTTTATTAATAGGGGGATGTTCCCCTTGAAAAGTGATGATGCCCCACTAAACCCAGGGACACCCCCATATTAATAAACATGGGTTGATTGATATGGGGTCAACATTAAATATCAGGTTCACCCATCTGAACCGGCGGAAACCATCTGTTCAAAACCAAACAAACCGATCCATTTAAAGAAAACAATGAAAACATGATATATTGTACATAGATCTTAAAACGTTAAAAACAAACTATATCTTGTATATAGATCTGTTAAAAAAAGAGATATATTGTACATAGATCTTGAACAACTGTACATAGAAAAAAACAAACAATATAAACATGATATATTGTATACAAATCTTCGAAACAAAGGCTACATAGATATGTCTAAAGATATGTTCTATATAGATCTAAACTTCAAAGGGCCCGTGATCACCACACCGCCAAGGAACGTCGCCATCCCCCAGCTCCGCCTGACACGCCGCCGCCACGCTCGCTGCCACCAGCGCAGCCGCCGCCGCTTGCACCTCTTCCAAGCGCAGCTCGATCGGCGCCTGCCAAGGGGAATCGAAGGGACGGGGCGACCGTACAAAGCCCAAGTGGACGCAAGGGAAAGGAGGAGGGTCCTCAACATCGATCTTTTTTGTTTTTTGTTTTTTTTTGGGGGGGGGTAGACCACCTTGGCGCAGATGTTTTCAACCTTGATCATTGCCGCCTCCCATCCGCTTACCTGAACCCCCGCAACCCAGGACCCAGGGAGTTTTGGTTGAACGTCGATAACCCTGGTTCTAAGGGTGGAAGTACCTACCCCTTGTTCATACCGGTTCCTTGGCTTCCGTGGTTTCCAACCCACTTTATGTATACCTCTTTTGGGGAGAGGGGTATGAACAGCAGGCTTTCTTGATTCACTTGTCCAAGGGGTATGTAAAAGGGGTATGTACAAGCGCGGCGGAGCTTCACACTTTGGATTGTGTGTATGACTATATAGACTATGCAAACTGTTGGATGGTGTTGTTCTTTGGCTTTTTTTTGTACACTATAGATGTAGATGTATACGCAGATACAGGTACATATAATGCATACACAAAAGACAAAACAAAAAAGCACACATTGCAAGGTTGGAAAGTTGGATGCATGTCTAATGCGGTGTTTATGTGCCCAAATGACGTGATTTCACCCCAATATGCCAAACCCAACAGGCATACGTCGAAAAGGACAAGCCCGCATCACACATACTGAGGTCGGTTGCAGAACATTGATCTCATATGCAGACTTGCGACGTGTCTAATTCCAGATTTCGGGTTTGGTGGGCCCGATCCCTAGGTAGGTGTGTCCTCTTGTCTTTTTCCCTTTGATGCCAACGCAAATGGAGTTGGCTGCGTTTGGGCGGAAGCTGCGTTTGAACCCGCCTCAAAGCCTTAGGACAAGTTACTGGCTTTGGCTGAAGTTGTAAGGTTCCCTAGACAGATTCGGTTGAGTTTCATTTGTGTGTCACACCTTGCCCGTTTTAGGAGCTTTGGTGACCTTTCGACAAACACTTTTTGACCCCAAGATGGACTTAAACCCAGGCGTTCTCCTTTTGTGGGAATCAGCCATGGACAGGTAGGTTCTGCCTCCATTTGAGACTCCAACAGTAGGTGCGAGACGAACACCTGGGCAGATGAAGGGTCGTACGACTGCCCTCTAGGTTCTGAATAGAGCTGTATACCAGGCTTGATTGTGACTCTGCGCATCGTTAAGCAGTTGAACATCCCGTGAGGCTTCGGCCGTGCCACAGGGGATGGCGGGGAGTGGCTTACCAACAGAAACCGAAAAAGCGGGGCGCGTGTGCTGCCTTTTGGTCGACCGTTTGTTTCTTTCAAGTTCCCCAAAGAACGGGCAGACCACCAAACCACTGGACATGAGCCGGGGGGCCCCAATACCAAAGCAATATCTAGGTCCTCCAGTAGAGAGGTTAGAATAAGGGTACCCGATTTTTTCTGTAGTTTGTTTTAGTAGGGGAACCCTCCCGCAAAAAAGGGGTAAAAGGGCACTTCTGGGGGACCTAGATATCGTTGAACCCTGAGGTTGGGGCCCCGCCAAACGTCCGCCTTTCGATTCCGAGGTCCTAGGCGAAAGTGCCTCTGCCTGAACAACCTATTTGGCTCTCTGATTTGCACAAAATAGATTCAATGGGAGAAATCGCAGCCCCCTTGCCCAAGTGTGGCTCTCAAAAGCCATCCGCCAGCCGGAAGTTCCAAGGGCCATGGGCTTTGAACCAGGTCCGAAAAGCAGATCGAGGCGTTGCTGCCTGGCACGTGCCAAAGGGAGCCAGGTCTCGAATCAGAGGTCGACCGACCTTCTGCAAGCTTGGCGGGTTCCCCTACAAGGGATTCGTGCCTCCATGGCAGTGGCTCAAAATTAAAGAGCTAGGGTTACGCAGGTTTTGGTCCATGTTTTCCACTTACCAGGGTTCCATTTTGGTCCCGGTTTTTTGAGCCATACCCCCATCGAAAACACCCGAGCCGGCGAACCGGCTTCCCATGCGCCTCTTGAGAGGCAGCGAGCGACCTGCAGCGGAGCACGGCTCTGCCACACGTCGGGAAGTCACGGGCAAATGGAAATCAAAAATATATATAGGCGTTTTCGGGAAGAGAAAAGCCAGACATGGGTATGGATCAAAGCTAAACCCGCAAGGTACTTGGCTTCCATTTACCAGGGCTCCATTGAGTACCTTAGTGTTGACAACCACGGCCATATCTCGCAACCAAACACACCGGGAGAACCAAACACTTCTCGCAACCCTGGAAGATCATCGAATCCCGGATTCGAGCCGCAAGCCTTCCAGCTCGGAAACGTCCCCCTAGGGTTGGCATCCCGAGCCCGCCGAGCTACACGGGATTCACAGCTGGTTCCGCACAACTGGGTTCTTAGGACCTCGGCAGCTGCACCTGCCCAGCAAGGGAACAAACAAACCTTGGTTGCTGCAACGACCCTCCGGCAAAAAGTTTTTAACTTTTGGGGGGTTTAACGGAAAACACCTTTATTTCCCAAGAAGCTAAAGTCTAAAGAACCAACCCAGCAGTCAAGAAACAAGTCCATCGGCGTTCCTACTCCAAGCCAAACTTGAAGGCAGCTGAAGCGGATCTGGGTCCGCAGCCTAGCCGTGGAGGGCGGGCTGCGTACAGCTTGGTACGCGTCGGCCAACAAGTCGAAGGCCATGTTCTGCCTCACTGGGTCTATGTCAAAACAGGACGACAAAGAGATGTGAACTTGTTTTTTCCTGTTGGTTTCCCTCTTTGAAACTGACATGAAAAGGGTACCCCACACTTTTGCGGAGAATGACTCACATGATACCATGCGAGCCTAGCTTGTCCCATTTGACCGGGGATTTCATGGTGGAAAGTGGGACCTTTACGGTGCCCAAAGCGGCTGCGCCGAGACGATTTTGGGCCTCTACTAGTTGTTCCCCTTTTCGCGGGGGATTCCCTTCTGATCGCCTGACTCAGCTTCGAATCCGGGATTCTTCGATTCAAATCGGCTCATGGCAAGTGGCCGCCCAGGGAATCCGCCTAACCCGCCCCTCACATTTGGGTGTTTGAATGCCACAAACATCCGCCATGTTGGGCTTGAAAAAGGCAAAGCGCCTCCCAGTCCTTACGCTTCAAACTTACTTTGCTCCAGTCCCCCTTTCGTTACCAGTTGACTGTATTCTTCAATTTCTTTCACCTTTGTCTTAGTCAATTTATCTTCATGTGCTTCATGAGTTTCCTTCACTTCTCTCTGCTTTGCTTTACCACTCTCACACCTCTCTTTGCTTTACCACTTCGCTATACTTCCCTGAACCTCACTTTGCATTGTGTTCTGCTACACCTTGCAAAAGCTGGTTTTAACTTGCCTTAGTTTTTATCGTCCCTCACGTTTTTCTCCATGGTTGGTTTTTGAGACTCGTTTTGTGTCCGTTTCCTTTGTCCTCTGATTTCAATCCCGGAAACCGATGGGTCGAGGGATCCATTTCCACGAAGGGGCTTATTGGAAAATCAATCCTGGATGTGAGCAAAGGCTACGAGACGAATCGTGGCTGACAGACATGACGATGGTGCCGCCCTCTCGACTCTCAGCCCTCTTTGCTCCCGCGCGTGAGCGGCAGCTTGTTCTCCCAACCCAAACTTACCCAACCCAAAAAACTATCCCATCTAGGTCCTCCAGATTTGAGAGGTTAGAATAAGTTGGTACCCGATTTTCTTGATAGTCTATTTTAGTAGAGGAACCCTCCCAACCGAAAAAGGGGTTAAAAAGGGCACCTAGCTGGGGGACCCAGCCATGCTTCTTTCCCAACCCAAAACCCATCATGAATCATGAAGCCAGGCACCCAATCTCCAATGGCTAAGCCGTTCCTCTAAGAAATGCCCACGCTTTGGGCTCAATTTGTCACATGGCTGTTGTCAAAACCCAGGAAAGCCCTCATAAACATCCAAATAGGTGGCTTAAATGCATGTTCATCCCCCAAACATGGAGCCGGAGCCATGGGTGATGCAACCCATGGCCACATTCGCAGAGTTCCTGTTTGGGGACCCTGTGCAAAGGGTCGAACCCAGAGAAATCTGGGTGCGTCAGTTCATCAGCCCACTGGTTGAATTCCCGGGGCACGTGGTTGGCCGCCAGCGAGCAGCCATGGGTGTGGAGCAGGAAGACCAGCTCCATCAGGATCGCCGCGGTGTAGGGCTTCTTGGATCCAAGGTTGAGCATCGCCATGACGTTGCCCTGATTGTCACTGCCCACCGGGAGTCGGACCCGGGAGGACAGAGGGCCTTGGTGCGTGAGGATCATGTTACAGAGGAAGAGCGTGCCCAGCATTTCCAAAGCCGCAATCCTCCGCTTGGGATCCCCATTCTTGAATGCCCAAGGGTACTCCTCCACGTGGATCTGCTCGTGGAACCAGTACACCTCCTTCTTTTCCGGCTCCACTTTTGTTGGAGCACCAACCTCCCACAAATGCCAGTCCTTCGTCCGAGGCGCTAGCATCGCTGCAACCCCACCAAGAGGACTTCGGCAAGTAAGGGGAGTACTGGACGAAGGGCGTGTTGAAGAGGAACCGCAGCATGAACGCCAGCATCCTGACCACCTTGGGGGGTTTCCCCACCGTGGTGGTGGCCATCTTCCAGGCCCAAAGTGGCTGAAGCATCGACTTCGCCAGCGGACATGCAGCAGTTGCCCATTGGATGCGGCCCAGGGCCTTCTCGATGTCCTTTGAGTGCATCGCCTGCCCTTCCACCATGGCTGCAAGACCTCCATTACCAGGATGTGTTTGTTGGCGGCCATGAGAACCTGCGGGATGTTCGGGTGGACCACGAAGCCCAGCCACGTGTTGACCTCCGCCAAATGTGTCTTCTTCCAGCTAAGCGGGGTGCCCAAGGCCAGGAGTGTTGCCAACAGCGCCACCGCCAAGTTTACTGCCCCCTCGCTGCGAAGCAGCCACAGGAAGTCATCCACAAAGACGAAGTTCCAATCCACTTGAGGGAAAAGTGCGTAGAGGACCCTGAGTAGAAGGGCTGCCAGGCGTCCCCAGTAGGATTGGGCACTGGCCATGCCGTATGTGCCTACCTTGTTCACCCACCATTCTTCCCCCAGTGAAGCCACCTGGAACCGCCAGTCCTTCCTGAGGACCTTCACTCTCCGGTGGGCCTTGGTGACGTCCGCCTTGAGCAGCACCCACCTGGTGCCCGGCTC